TGGGGGGGGGGGGGGGGGGGGAGGCTAGAGCTGCTAGAGGATAGCCAGTTTGCTGAGGGCAGTGGCACTGCTAGATCCAGCCCCAGCAGCTCTGCGGCCAGCAGAAGCAGGAGAGCTGCTGCAGTCGGATGTTTAAGAAAAGTGCAAAGCTCAGATTTTCTCAAATCCAGAATCGGGGGAGGTGGAGCCTGGCAAACAGTGCAAACCCAGAGACCTGCAGAGGGGCTTTCTACTCCAATGACCAAAATTCAGAGGCATGCAAGGCAGAGAGAGCCTCAAATCGCCAAAAATTACAGGAGACCTTTCATTAACAAGGGATGAGGAAAACCCGGGCGGGAGGGGGGAGACGCAGAGAGAGCATCACACCAGGTAGCACCCTGCCACCAGATCAGGAATGGAAAGCAAAGGCATCCGGCCTCAGGGGAAGAACCCCTAACACACTGGCAAGCCCCGCCCTGGAGCAGATGCTTGGTCTGCCTCAGAGGACATTGCTGTCTGTGCTTCAGCAAAACAGACCCAACTCGTCATGGCAAAGTGCTACCGAATGGGTCCACATCCACCTCCTGCCACACCAACCCAGGCTCGAGCGGAAGGCGGGGAGGACAGACTGGTTCCCAGACATCAGAAAAAACGGCCCCTCAGCACAGCTCCAGGAGAGGGAGTGGGAATGGAGCCTCTTCATGCATCAGCACAGAGGTTTAACTAACAAGGCCTGATGCAGGATTGCCAACTCTGCCGGGGGGGAGGGCGGGGGGAATGCAGGACTCAGCTCAGCTCCTGGGCCCCAGGAGCAGCACAGCCAGCAGTTGCCAATTGCTTTTCACTTGTCAAATGAACTAGCTGGAGTCACTGAGGACCAGAGCTCACAGCCGAGCATGGCCACCCTAATCGGAGAGGGGCCGAGGCTGCCGCCCACTGATGGGTTCAGCTAACTACTTCTGGGCTTGCGAACTGGCCATCATACTAAGACGCTGTCTAGCAGCTGATGCCTAGGAGATGCAAAGTGCCTGTGGAAGTGCAGGAAATCCAAGGCATGCGGATGGGAGGAAGCTCTGAGAGGCACATGGGCAAAGCCGTACGGGGAAGGTTCAAACACGGAGCCTTTCGAAAGAGGCCTAGGATCCAGTGGAGAGACAGATGCAGCGGGGTGAGGTAACTCGAGGACCTGGCATGTGCAACACGGAAGAGAGAAGCTACGGGGAGGCTCCCAGTCCGCAAGTCCATGTCTTGGTTCTAGTCCGGCCAAGAGCCCCTCTGACTCTCATCCAGCACTAGCACAAAAGGAATCCGAAGGAGACTTTCCAAAGCCAGCTACAAAACAGTCCGTTCACCAGCCCGGCCGCTGCCCGGGGAGTCAGAGGTTGAGGATAGGCACGTCGAAGAGGTCGCAGACGCCTTCGCTCTCATCCAGGTTGTAGATGTAGTCGTGGTCTCCGGGGGGAGGGGAGAGGCGGAGCAAGGGAGCAAATACTGTTGAAGAGAAAGCAGGGTCCTGCTGTTCACAAGCCTAGGAACCATCCCACCTACCACCCCCGACTGGAGCCTCCAAGTCCTGTCACAGGGAGACCTCAGCTCACACTCATCCCACTCCTCCTTCGCAGCAGAGGAAACGGAGGGCAGAGTCTGCCGGAGGCGAGGGGGGACTGAGTGCCAGACAGTGTGGGGCTGCCCCCCGAATGCCAGACGTCGTACAAACGACAGCCACTGCCACCCCCATCCCCCAAAAAAGAGAGAGAGTTCGGAGGCAACAAAACCCAGCAACTCACCTTCGGACGACATCAGCTCTTCCAGCAGCTCGGAGTTCATACATTCTGGGGGGAGACAGCAGGGTGAGGGGCGCACTCTGCTTTCCAAGCGCCTAGGCTTGCTTTTCCTCAATACCCTTCCCCTCCCCCAAGTTCTTTCCTCCCAGTATCACGGAAGCCAAGTCTCAGACCTGAA